TACAGGAGCTACAGGAATTAATCAAAATTTATCTTGCGCTATATATCGTAAGTAACAAACAATCTGATTTAACAAGTTTCTTCCTTGAATTACTTTAAATTAATATGGGATCAAATTTTTTTGCAGAACTCATCATAAATTCTAAATTACATGAAAAAATAGCTCACAAGGATTTTGTTAAAGATATCAACAAAGGTACTGCTAATCGAAAACCATTCAAAAAAGAAACTGATATAAATAAAACGTATGTATAAAAATGTATTACTTTGTATGTTCTCAGTAATAGTATTTTTTTATAACAGTTATAGTAATTGATGAATATTTTGGTGACAAAAAAAAAGAAAAATTTCAGAAGTGCATACTATTGATGATAATAATGCTTCTCCAAAAAGACCAAAAAATAAATCTAACTAGATTCATAGTGATACGCTGACAACAACTGAAATACATCGATCAGGAAAATATAACTATTGTTCTCCACAACAGCCGAATCAAAATTCTAGTAATAGTATAGTTACTGTAGCTACGATTGAAACTCCTCCTTAATATACTAATATATAATATTAAATACGTCATCAACATATTTATGGTATTACATGTTACTCCTTAAGTACCACTATATATATATATATATTTTATATATATATATATATATATATATATATATATATATATATATATATATATGTTTGTATTTTACATTTCATTTAAATAAATTGCAAAAATTTCCTTAAAATAACTCATAGAGCAATTATTTTGTTTATTAAAAGATTACAATGACAGATGAAAATGATTATTTGTAAATTTGTTAAACTATTAGAGTTTCTACTTATTCTGATAATTTTAATTAAAAAAATTTGAGGCGTTTATAATTTAATGTATACAAAATAACATTAAGCTCTAATAGTTTAAAAAATTTGCAATTGATCTTTTTCGTCTATCATTGTCATTTAAACCTGCATTTATAAAATAAAAAAATCAGAACGAAATACGGATTACAGATCAGCTGGTCGAGAATATAGTCAGTATTAAATCATTTTTATTCAAGGTCTTATTCAGTTCTGATTTGTTGCGTATTCAGTATACGATCAGAATCTGTAAGTACCGATTAAATACTGTTAATCAGAATAAAATGAGACCTTAAAAAGACTAAAATAAGAATTAATTTTTTGACTCGGGCACAGCTATAGAAACGAATGCAACTATGTTTAATTAAAAGTATTTTTTGAAATGTGTAAGTTGCTGTCCCTCAGAACCAACGGTCCGATCCGAGTTGATTTCTTCAAATCTCTTCTAACAGTGTCTTATTCTTTTAAATCATTCATATATAAATATATAAAACTTAGTTCTATTAATAAATATCAAATTTTATTAAATACATAAATAAACTTTCTAGGAATTTTTACTAGTCAATTTAGAGTAAATTTTACTAGCCGAAAAAATTAAAAATTAGCAATTTTTTTTAGTGCAAATAGCTAAAAAACTTAAGAAAAAGTACTAGTTTGGGTGGTAAAAATTTCTAGAAAAAAATTTATAAATTCAGGAATTTACTTTCTATTAAATATATCGATTAAATATAATTATACCTACATCAAAGGATTATTTTATACTTTCAGATGTTTTCACTCTACTACGCTGGAACACGCCTGTTTGCGTAATTTTATAACTTAATCTTTTTTCATTTTTCTTGACCATGTTTTTATCTGAAAATCGGTCTACTCCAGTTATATGATGGTTAATCGCGATTATTGGAAGATGAGTACAATACTTTGTTTATTGCACTACGGAGTCCTACATTAAATATTATTTGTTGACTGTTATAAATTTTTTTCTAGAAATTTTTACCAGTCTGCATAGGACTTTTTACTACTTTTTGGTAACTTTTACCAGCTAAACTAGTCCTTTTTTCTAAGTTTTTTAGCTATTTTTAATTAAAAAAAAATTGCTAACTTCTAACTTTTTTGGCTAGTAAAATTTACTCTGAATTAACTAGTAAAAATTTCTAGAAAATTTTTTCCATGTAGGAATATTATTGACTTATAATTTCCTATAGAATAATACAGAACCCTATTCGATTCATTAATAGTCTAGTAGCCGTGTGAATTTATCGTGAATTAATTATAAAATGATAATAAAAATTTGTTGGTTACATATTATTGTCGGGGATGATAAGGAGGGTATTTGTGCAAATTTTTACTATTCGGAAACAATAATTACAATTGTTTATTGAGTGTCAAAGTTTGGCAAATTGCGTTTATTCACCTTTCACCGCTTACGCAGCGAGAACAGTAAGAGATATTAAAAAAAATTAACATCTTTTTTGTAGAAAATCGAATTCTTTACAAAAAAATCCGCGAGAGCAGTTGTCAATCGTAGACAGGTAAAAATGTACAGCGCTGCGGAAGCGCGCTGAAAATCGAGCATTTTGGGCGATCCGACAGAATATGCCGTTAAGCGCCTTTTTAATTACCATTTTAAAAAAAAATATTTCCAATATTACAAAAAAATTGGAACAGTTCTAGAATGTTCAGGATCGTTTTCTAAACATTTTCCAATTGAAATTATAGAAAAAAATTTTTTGATTTTTTATAGTATTTAAAGCGTTTTTCTTCTTTTTTTCGTGAACTTTGCACCCTTATATTTTTTCAGTTTAAGGGCAAATTTTATAGCAAATTTAGAAGCAGATATAATTTTTCCCGCTCTAAAAAATGGCTATCTCAGTTTTTCAAAAAAAATTTTTTTTTAACATTGAAAAAATCTAAATATTACTTTTGGATTCTTTCACTTTTATTTTGACGATTTAATTATTTTTTAATCAAAAAAACATGTAAAGCAAAGTTTCATATCTTCATGTGAAGAGTATGAAACGATTTTTTTAACATTTATTTTAGCATTTGTTATAGATAAATTTTATGAACAAATACGTAATTTTTAATCAATCACAATTTTTTTTAAATTTAATTTGTAGTCTTTTCATAAACAATTATCACCAAAATGTTGTATCTATCAAAAATTCACTAGTAGTATAGGAATTTTCAATTGTTTATAAAAAAAATAGTTCCAATAACAATTATGGTTATTGGGAAATTAATTTTTTAATAATAAACGATGCTCTTGCAAATAATGCATCTAGAAAAATTATAACATTTTTAACTTTCCAGTGGAAAGTTATAGTAATGGGTCCGATTTTGCGAATCCCGAATTTTGACATATTTCCACGTTTTAAGGTCCCCAGAGTCGAATACGATCGTTTTTCAGTGGACGTCTGTGTGTGTGTATGTACGTATGTGCGTGGGTGCGTATGTGCGTTCGGAATTATTTTTCGCCTCGATTATCTCGAGAAGAAAAAATGATATCGATGTGGGACCAACTGCATTCGACGAGTAATTATGTAACTTAGAACCGATTAAATTTTCAGCAAAATCGGTCCAGCCATTTTTTTGCCGAACCGAAAAACTAGCAAAAATGGAAAACGACCTGAATTTTGCAATTTATAAATTATACCATTTTTTAGACAAAATTTCAAAATCTTTAAAAAGTGTGAATATTGAATGATTAGAATACTAGCATGAAAATATGATGGCAGTATTTCATGAAAAAAAAAAATTAAAAAAAAAAACAGCAATGAAAGAATTTTAAACTCGTGTCAGGATTGAGAAAACAGCAATAAACACGCTATAATAGATAGTAATTGTTAATAATATGGAATTTTGTCCATAACAATTGAACATTGTTACTAACAAATGATTATTGATCATGGTAATATTTAAATAAAAAATTTTAAATTGTTATAAACAATAAAAATAGGGATCCATGCTATATATGTACTTTTAACACATAATTTTTTCTTTTACTAAAAAAATATTACCAATCGTATGACATAAATGAAAACATACTTTTTTCGTGTATAACAATGAAATTTGTCGTAAATAATGAATAAAAGGATCGATGAGGTATATTTGAATTCTTCTAACGCATAATTTTTTCTTTTACTGAAATGAAGTAACTAACCATATCAAATGAATAGAAACACACTCATTTCCTTTATAACAATTCCATTTGTTATAAAGAATGGAAACGGGTTCTACTCGGAGTATTTTTTCACTTTTTCCACTGGGAAGTTGGTCGTGTGGACCTTTCGGGTCGCACCCAAACCACTGCAGAGCACTGATATTTTTTAAATTGTTATTTGAACAATTGTTTTTGTTGTAAATAATTGATTTTTTTTATTAATTTTCTCAACCTCGACTGAAGCTCCTGTCAATAATGAAGCTTTAGCCGCGAATAACTTTTTATCTATGCTAGATATGAAACAAAAAGATCAGTACTTTTTTTCATTAAAATTTCATTCTGAACAACTTTTATTTGAAACTTTTTTCTGTATCTACATTGGAAATCGAGAAATTCGTGATTGAGGGGGGGGGGCGTCGCGACTTACTCCCCTCTATGAGTGCCAAAGATTTTTAACCTATTCTATCGTGTTTCTCACGAAATTTCCGATCTAGTGACCTATAACTCAAAAGTTTGGCCTTCGAAAATGGAAATTATCTTATTTCCCTCATTTGACTGGACTAATTCCTTTAATAAATCGAATAGGGTTCTGTAGTATTCTATTTGAAATTCTAAGTCAATAATATTCCTATTAATTTTTTCAATCCTATCAAGAAACTGAATAGGATTTAGCGCACCTCAATGAGACGACTCAATACGATTTAGGAGATTTGTATAGGAAAAAAACCTCCAATAGGATTCAATAGGAAATGATGCAGTTTTCTTATTGAACCTTTTTTCCTACAAAGATTGTTCGAGTAGGGAACAGTCACGCGATCTTAATAGCGGCATTCTCCATAAAATAATTGTTTCTTGAATACAAAAATCAGTGAATATACTTGTATATTGGCTGATACATTAGTTATTCCTTGACACCTTGGAATTATTTAGGGAAAAACCAAAATAAAGCCCAGCCTTAATGAGTTCAAGGTAAATCTCATCCTACTTACTTGCAATATACCTCGTACTTGGCCACTTCTAGTTTCAACAATACGTGATGCATAACGTGGTCCAGCTAATGTTTCGAGTTTTATAAATGCCAGTATCAATAACAGCCAACTTGTTTTCACAGAGAAATATTTAAATTCAAGTACTTTCAACATTTGATCCAACGGCTGTTTTCTGACCGTTGGTTGTTGCTCTTCGAACATGACAACATAGAATTTTGGCCGCTGTCACCACCAACATTACGTGTATGCAAATTGAAAAATACTACCGTCACCTCACAGGTTCCATCCATGAGATTTACATATTGTTACATGAGATTGATGTACCAAATTATGATTTTATTCCTTAAATGTGTAGAAACTAAAGAAAATCTTGTTGATGAATAAAAAAATTTTTTCTTAATTGATGCACCTATAAAAGATGAAATTGATGTATATAAATATCCACTCCTTTATCTCTAGAATAATTATACATTTTATAATGTTATCATTATTATATTATTGGAAATTTTTAAATTGTAAAATTAATTTTTTGTCAAGTTTTTACTAATTTCATAAAGACAATTTCAATCCATGCATCAGTTACCTTAAACTTTAGAAGTGAAATCGAAGACAACACATGCAATCATTGAGTTACATAAAAAAATTTGAATGATAAAGTGACGATAGACATCGTAAATTTATTCCGCAACAATATTGCGGGTCAGAATCTTTTTTCACTAATCATAGTTTATTTATAAAAATATATCATTATACTACTACAGCTTTTGATTACATTCTTAACTCTCTCTTCCACGAAATATCATTCCAGCGTAGATTACTGTAGTATTTTATAATATCGAATAGATTCGGATGATAATAGAATTGTAACTACTTTTCCAGAAGATAAGTTATTTTTGAGAGCATATCTGTATGCGTATATATCGTATTTACCAAATATGTTTCTTAGTTTCAAAAACTAACACGCAGTTTAAGAAATTATTCGACACAACATCAACTCGCTCAATATCTACTCTGGCAGTAGCGTAGACACAAAAACTGGAATACGGTCTTTCTATTGAACTATACTTAACCCGTAGATAATATAACTTCTTTTAGGTTAATCAGAGAAGTCACGTTACGATTGTTTTTAGATAACTGCCTATAAACAACATAAGTATATCACGCAACTTTCGATTTTCATGTTATTATCAGTAATGTATCCTTAAGGAGAAGGCTACATACGTTAGGTTTTGTACGCATGCACATTGATTTCAAATGAGAATAATGCATATTGAATATGTAATCTCATCAAAAACAGCCCTCTCATTCTAGGCTGTACAAAATTGTGCGCCAAGCATAAATAACGACAATGATAAAATTACAAGAAGTCCTAAAATCATTAAAGGCCAATTGTTTAAATCTAAGGATCAAAAATGTTAAGATTTTATAGAAGCATGAAATTTTGAAAATATTCAAGCTAATTAATAAATAACAGTCACACTAAGTTTTTGGTTCTTACGTTGATCATGTCATAATACAAATAATAACAATTTATGAAACATAATAAATTTGTTGATTTTAGTAATTTTATCACTTAAGCAGATTATTTTGAATATGACCCATAATTAAAAAATTCATGATTTGAAATTTTATTCTAAAAAAAATCTGTCTCAATCGGTAATAACTCTTATGGTATACGGAAGGCATTAATAAGGCCGAGTGTACTCCTGCATCTCAAGTGGGATCAACATATAACAATCATCGCAATCAGACATCTATAACTTTACAAGCTACTTGTGATTCACAAAAAATATTTTTAGATTGTTTTACAGATGTCCCTTGTAAATGTCATGATTCGCGAATTTTCAAATTATCATTTATAGATCCTTTCGTTCATTAACTTAGCGATAATTTTCATGTTATAGGTAATGGAGCATATGTAAAAAAATAATCACCCTATATCGTGACTATGGTTACTTATCTAGAATAAAACAATCTTACAATCATGAATTGTCTGCAACTCGCGTAAAAATTAAAAACAGCTTTGGTCTTTTAAAAAGTCGTTTCCGTCATCTAATCAGAATAATTTTTCTGACAGCGCTAACGGAACTTTTCACTGGGAACAAAATTTGGCTAATTCAAAGAATTCTTTTTTATCAATACAAGAAACTTGGAATACTTCTAAGATATAATTTTCTTCGATCTTATAATATTTGTAATTAAAAACACATTTTGTCATGTGATTCAATGTTACGACAAGTTAAAAACGAATGATATTCTATTCATTTCTTGTTACAATTCTCATCTATACTAACACGATAGATCTGACCATATCATAATTAAAATAATAGGTTGCTCTAATAATTCAATAAAGTTTTCTTTTATTCTGAAGAAAATGTTTACTCCGAATAAATAGATCTATTTAATCAATAAAAAACTGAAATAACCCAATACTTTGAATTTATTTATTTGAAAAACTTAATTCAATGAAATAATTATTCGATGGAGAATTAAAATAATAGATTGAATAATTAAAATTTTAAATTCAATATTCAAAATTCCATGTAATAGCAACCCAAATGCTCGGCGACACTTATGCGCATGTCTGTAACGCTTCAACGCATGCTCACGGCGCTTGAACGAGTCTCCAAACCTCAGTTCTCGAATAAATGTGTGACGAGTAACTACTAGTGAAACGATTACTTTTATTGTGAAATGTTTATGTAGCATAGACTCTACATATTAAAGTTTGTTCTTTTGATAATTTATTAAAAATCTAGTAACTGTTTGGTAACAACGTCGTCATTGAGAAAGTATGGTAGATCAATCAACGAGAAATTTGTTAGAGTTTTTAGGTTTTCCTTAATATATCAATCACTTCACTTATTATTATTATTTTTTAAAAGTAATGTTAGGAAAGTCTGGGCCCTTTTTTTGTCTTGCAAAGTGACAATATCAGGATTAGAAGATTGAATAGGTGAGAAAAATCAACTTACCTCTTCTTCCGCAGCAAAAAAAAAGAAAAGAAAAAAAAAAGCATAAAAACTGAAATTCAGCATACACTTTTACGAGATTCACCAGGAAATAGCAATAGTTGATAGTAATAAGAATCGTTATAGCAGTAATAACATTTATATTAACAGTATTAATAACCCTGCTTAAACATTTCTATTAAAACAGAATAAATCCTATAGGATTATTCAGAATGTGTATAGGAGCCATCGTATTTGAATATGAAATATAAAGAAATGTCTGCCACCCGCAGAAAGTTTAAAAAGATTATACACGTCTGGATAGGTATATAAATGGTGATTCTGCATTCTTATATTGGTTTGGCTCCTTCAACCTCCAATAGGAGAAGAATAGATCTCAATAAGAAAATACAACTTAGAAATTATTTTTATTTTCTATCAATCCTCAATAGGATTTTTTATTATACAATAGGTTTGAGCTCCTCTAAGATCCAGTATTTTATACCCTTTCTCTTACCACAAGTCTAATGGAAAATATCGTGATAAAAGATTATTCTCTAAGTTACGTTCCCCTTTTTAATCTACTTGTTTTCGTATAGAATCTTAGAAAAAATATCTGTGTAAAAACATTCCAAGTCCTGTTGAGGAATATTGTCACTAGAAAACACTAAGTCGTATTTTGTTTTCCAAATCATTTACAACAAATTAATGATCACCATATAAAAAGCATTTTTCATAAAAATAATAATACTCTACTCGATGTATAAAGTAAATACACATACAAACAGAAAATACAGTCAGATTTCTCTGATTACCGAAACTCGGGGAACATATTTTCGAAATTGAAAATTGAGGGTCATAGTATCGCTTCATGCTGAGCAGTGCAGGTGGGGAGTAAAGCCATTAGAAATTGAGGGTCAAGAAATTGAAGGAGTCTGACTGTAGCTTTTTTTTGTTCTCAGCATTGTACGAATCGGAGAGTGATATTCGAATAGGGAATATCGTGATGAGAAAATATTTTCCGAATCGCATTTACCTTTTCAATTTGTTTATTCCTCATGAAAACTTAAAGAAAATAAACATAAAAAACTATCAAATCGTATTAAGAAATATTGCCACAAAAAATACTAAGTCGTGTTTTGTTATTCAGTTTATTTATATCTTATAGAAACAGAAAAAAATTGTGCCTATTCGAATGTTTGAAGTCTTAAGCCCCGTTTACAATAGGACATTAGACATTAAACTTTAGGAATAAGAAACAAAACTTAGTCCATAGGAACGGAACATTAAACACTATCGTAAACATCAGCGGAAATGTCAATGGTTTATTTAATGTATATGTGTACTTTAAATTTTATTTATGTATAGTGGTGATTTTTAAATTTATTTAAATACCTAGTGCAAATAATGAAGAAGAAATATATATTAGTGTATTTATGCGCAAAAATTTCATAAATCAATACATTTTTATAATTTGAAAAAATAAATCATTAATTTTTATTGAATAAATGATTTTTTATTAATTCAAAACAATTAATATTTTTGAAAAATAATCATTTGGATAAAATTGTGTATAAGCCTGATACGTAATTTTAATTAACTGAGTGTTAATTACATTATAACATCTCTTGAAAGGTATTGTATTATTATATTTCATTATAAATATAATAAATAATTATTTTGATATTTATTAGTTTCATCTAATTTACAGAACTGCTAATTCTACTGGGTCGTTAAATCTTTTCTTGAAAAAATATTAATAAAATGAGTTATTCAAATCATAAACATAAACGGAGTAAATCTATTAAACTTGATCGAAGAAAAATTTCTAAAGATTGTTATTTACATGAATTATTCAGCCATCAAGAAAAAAAGCAACGATGGTTTAAGCTCTAGAACATCAAATGAATATTCACAAACAATATCAGAATAAAAGGATGGAAAAAATGATAGCTTTTCATTTACACAATTTCGTTATGAACTAAACTAAGTTTATATTTCCAATCCTTTTTTAGTTTAAGATCCAGAAGATTCTTGGGCTTTTGTTAAAAAATATCAAGCTAAGCTTGAAAAGTCTGGGAAAAGTATTTTTAAAAATTCTGAATTAAATTCAATTGGTGTTCCCAAGAAGTTCCATTAAAATTATTGCATCAATCTAAAAATTAATATTTGAAAATAAACTGGCTAAATTTAAAGAAATAATTATTTTGTATTTAGATTTTAAACAAAAAGAAAAATTTGCAAAATTGAAAAAGCTCAGAGAAAGTCAAGAAAATTTGCCTATGGCGAAATATCGAGATGAAATAGTGGAAGCTGTAAAAAATGAAAAAGTAGTTATAATTGTTGGAGATACAGGACGTAGAAAATCAAAACAAGTGCCTCAATATCTATATTCTGCCGGTTTTGGAAGAACTGCTTGTACTTAACCACGAAGAATAGCTTGTATTTCTTTAGCAAAACGATTTGCTTTTGAAACATTAACAGAAAATTTGAATGAAATAAGATATCAAATAAGATTCGAGAAACAGAAAAATCAACAGACTAGAATTTTATTCATCACAGAAGGTTTACTTTTAAGACAAGTATCTGATGAAACTGAATTATCTCAATATGATGTTGTAATTCTCGATGAAATTTATGAGCGACATTTGCATGGGGATTTATTATTAAGAATTGTGGAATGTCTGATTCATCAGAAGAGATCTAATATGACACTGGTTCTGATGTCTGCGACAATAAATATTCAATTATTTAGCAACTATTTGGCCAAAGAAGATGTTCCAGTTATTCAAGTCCTTGGTAGGCTATATTCCATTCAGTTGATATATCGACCTGCTGGTATCGAAGAAACAAGATTTAATTTCTGTAATTTTTTCTAAAAAATTCATCACTTCGTATAGTGGCCAAGGCTTTCAAACCTCATCCTTGCTACCACTTCTTGCTTCGTCTTCTCTTTTTTTCCTCTATTTAGAAAAATACTCTTTCAACCTTTTCCATCGTGATTGACAATTATGAGCTATAATAAGATTAAAATTTTTCAATAAATAAAATGTAGTTTTTGAAACTGCTATGTTTTAGATCTAATTTCATCTACTCATATTTAAAAAACTAAAAAAAATTTGATGTAGATCTATTTTATTTATAAATCTTACAAGTCATATCTATAGCTGATGCTATAGATCTGACCATAACGTCTCCTTCATTTGATGATCCTTATAGTTTCCATTC